TCCTTCTCTTGACGTTGAAAACTTCTTTAAATCTTTGCTTGGTTCAAGATCCGTTTGATTTGGGACAAAAATGAGAGAGAGAGAGAGAGAGAGAGAGAGAGAGTGAGAGTGAGAGAGAGCATGGGAGGGTGAGAGAGAGAGTGAGGGAGAGAGACGCACGGGGAAGGAAGAGAAAAAGAAAAGAAAAGGAAAAGGAAAAAGAAAAGAAAAGGAAAAAGGAAAGGAAAAGGGCATGTGTACAATATTTTAAAAGAACAGTCCAGAAATGCGCCCATACACACTTCTGGATTAAAATAAATTACTGAGAATAATTTAAATACCTTGGAACTATTTAAACTCACGCGTGTCAGAAACATTTATTAATTAAACTCAATTAATAATCCAGATTAGGCACACTAATAATCTTAATTACCTTAATTAATCTCAATTAATTCTTCAGGGTGTTACAGTAACCATAGACTATCTCAAAGTTCTATGAAAGTTTTATTCTACACGATCCGCTTCATACACACTTCCGCATCCGAAATCGTTTCAGAAACCAACAGTAAGCTCATTCACACTCGAGCTCATGGTATCCTTAAGTTGAGTTGAGGGATATTGTTTTGAGCTAAAGGTTTGAACCTTAGCTAAGGGTATGATGCTGTTAGGTCATTAATGCGCTCTTGGCTAACTTATTCCGGACTTTAATCTTTTCTTTAAGCCAAGGTTGGTTATGCGGCGTACTAACTCAGATTTGTAGAAATCGTTGTATAACACTATAAACTCATCATGCCACGAGTTTACCAAGTTGTGAGCTCACATCTCGCTGTGCTTGGTCAAGTTGTGAGCTAGTCGAGGTCAATGAGATAGCCATGTCCACGAGCTGGCCATGTCCTTGAGCTTGTGAGATCCATGAGTTAACACACTTGTGGGCCTTATGTATTTTGAGTTAAGGTAATGTTTAATATGTTGAGATAGAAATTTCTTGGGCTTAGGTTTTGATGTTCCAATGTCGTCAAAACGACAACTCATATAGCCTTCAACTCGCTTGATGGCGAGGTCGTGAGAATGTAAGCTCACATGATTCAGAACCATTTTTTATTTGCGTGTGTTTTTTGTGAGAGAAAATACTGTAGCGAACCATGATTCAAATCATGACATGAATACACCAACCAAACGTCTAACAATATTATGTTGATATATGCTATTTGTGTTGAGCATTAAAGGACTTAGCTCCGCTCATCAACTTCACCTCGCATACTTCAGCTCGTTGTCCTCAACTCGCATACTTCAGCTCACCTGACGAGCTTGAGTTAGCTTGAGCTGATTTTAACATGTAAAAAATCATGGTATAACAATTGCCCCCCAAGCTCTTGGTGCAATTAATTGTGCCAAGAGCTTAAATTTTGTCCTTGTTTCCATTGACATTTCTGATGTTAAAGATCCATTTTTTGTATGAGACTTCTAAAATTAGAAGCCCTTTATTCAATTAAGTTTTTTCTTCTAAAAGTAAAGACAAATTAGAGTTCTTTTTTTTTTTTTTTTTTTGGCTTGTTATCTAGCGAGCTAGGGTGCTAGACTTAGCCCAGCTTGCAAGCCCAATTGGCAGGAGTGCAGGCAAAAAATAGAATGAAACCATCATTTTGCTTGTGCCATGTATTGAACTCGGGTTTCTTAACTCAAGTACAACTCATGCTACCAGTGCCCCCTAGCACTTGATGTGCGGTTTATGAGCTCTAGTCTTATTTATTCATTATCTGAATATGAAATTTTATCATGTCAATTTAATACTCCTTACCTTATCAAGCTAAAGATAACTTGAGTTTCGAGCTTTGATATTGTCAATGTGAAATGCTAATTTTTAACTTGTGAAAAATTATGGTATAACATATATATATATATACATAATTTATAAATTAAACTAGATTAATATAATCATAATGTTGTTTTAGCTAAAAGTTTTAGTTTAATTCACGTCTTTGAAAACCTTTTTTGATTCCGCCTTTGTATACATATATAATGGATTAATTTTTAATGATTATATTTAATCTGTGGTTACCCATTAAATATAAAAATTTGATGACATAATGTGATTAGAATTCAATCTCATTAATTATCATATTTTTTTCTCAACTATATATCCAATTTATTACAATAGACTTAAAAACATCTTACTATTAAAGCAACGATACTCTGCTAATAGATAATATTAGAGTGACAATTGAAACCAAACCTATAGGTTAATAGGAATCCATGAATATGATCAATGATCAGATCACCTTCAAGAGTTCGACTAATTATTTTCTATTTCTGTTATGCATTTAAAGTGAAGAAAGAATTGATAAATTTTAACCATTGAATTACTTTAACCAAACGGATAAGAATTAGAGCGATTCCTTAGTATTACTAATAGAAACGCACCAACATTTTGTAATTTAGCACCCTAATGTATATTCTAACAATTAGCAATAAACATCATGGTATAAATTCCAATTCGGCATCATATAAGAGACTGACAAATATTGCCACTATAATCATTGTTTTGAAATACGCCATAATTCGTGAAAGCTAATAAACATTTTGTATTGGAAACATTTCATCATCAACTTTTTGATCATGAGGTTCCCATTTATAATTAGAAGAAAAATAAATATTAAGTGGTGATAAAATTAACATTAATTATATGTTGTCGTTTTCAATCTCCAAGTGGGTTTTATATGAGCAATTCTTGGTATTAGCATCTTTATCCTTTGACAAAGAGGAGAGGAGAGGGAGGCTCTTATAGAATTTGTTGACGAATTGGATATGCTTTGGTCAAGTAGTGCACTTATAAAATGTTCAAATAAATTTCATCCATCAAATTGTTTTTTTTTTTTTTGTTTCTTTTTTTTTTTTTTTGGTACGTTGACTTCTGTGGAATTAAAAAAATAAGTGCATCTAATCCTAAAGCAACTTATGAGATTTCATTTTCTTATAATCTTGTGCCTTGTTTGTTACTGCTTAAATGGCTCTTATATTCTTAGATTTAATAATTATAATGATTGTATGAGGTAGAGGGGTAAACACTTGACATACACACAAAAAGATATTTATTAAGGTGACATCATATTGTTGCTAGCGAGTCAAAGAAATCAAGCATATAATTATACTAGTGATATTCATGGGCAATATAATTTTTTCTGTGACCTAAAACAAAGAGCCGATTCAAATGCAACTAAAGGGATTCGCACAAGATAAAGTTCGTTTTTATTTATTTATTTATATTTGTGGAAAACACATGAAAATAAAGAAAATAGCAAACAATATATGCATTTTTTCTCTTATTATAATGAGAAATTATATCATCTTTCATGTCATGTCAGACTCAAAACACTTATCCAATTTAATTATCTTAATGTCTAACTAACCATATAATGTCACATCATTCAAAATATTTAAAATGTTTCTTAATTCACTTTTTTATTCTTATTGTTAAATAATTTAACAAAATATGATTAGTTAGACACTATTTAAGAAACTAAAAATTAGCCAAGTAATCCAAATCGCTTCATGTTTTTTAAGTATACTCATCTAGTAAATAATTACCATTTAAGTGATTTATCAATATCAATTATATTTAATGATTATCTTCCTCGTTCCTAATATATTTACCATATCTGCTTGGTCACAATTTCCATAAACATTCCTATTAAAAATTAAATAAATAAATATTCCCTCTTAAATCATTTAAAAACACTAGAAACATGAGCAAATTACCTAAATGACTAATAAAAAAAATCAAATTACCTAAATGACAACTATGCTCTAAGCCTTTTTCCGCCAAAAAAAAAAAACAAAGTGAGCAACTGCTTATTTAGTAATTTCTCAATGTGTATACCCCAGATTTTGAAGAGAGGGAAAAAAAAAAAAAAAAAAAAAATTCTGCAATTCTTTTTGGCTGCCAACAGCCTAGATTTCGTATCCGTTTTGATATTTTCTTTTTAGCTCAACTTTGAAAGCGACAAGTAAACTACCAAAACAAACTCATTGGCAAACTCGCTGACAGACTCGCAATATTTTCTACTTAAAAGACGTTGCAAACCTTTTCTTTTTCCTTTTAAATAACTGTGAAGATTGTAGCTATAACTAATATTTGTTTGTCGTAGCTCTCGTTTCATCTTCTGTTTGTCGTTTGGTTTAACACAATCCAAACAGATCATATGACATGTTTAGAAGACCCATTCTCTCACTTCTCTCACTTCTCTCACTTCTCTCACTAAAACCTTAGACGCCGCTAAACAGTAACTCAGTCTTTCCACAAATCGAGGGGCCCATAACAAAGGATATAACAAAATCACTTGTGTTGCCAATCTACACTACCTCCCTCTCTCTCCTCTCTCTCTCCTCTCTCCTTGTGTCTCTTTCTCTTCCTTGCCAGTTGCCACTTGTCCTTTATTATGTCTCTAACTAGTTATTATTCTTATTTTTAAGCTATTTATTTTTGCTCTTTTTTGTTGTGTGTGAGCTCAGAATAACACGGAAGCCTTTTGTTTCGTCTTCTGTTGTGGTCGTATGCAATTCCGGAACTTACACGAATCCCCATGGCAACGCAAAGAGAGCCTCTTGATCATAAAGAAACCGATGATGAACCCATTTGCACCATCAAAGCTGATTCTCCACTTCACAAGGTCTCAACTTTTCTTTAGCTTCTTTCATAAACCATGACTTTGTCTAACAAATTATGTGAATTGGGTTGTGATTTTGACTTGTTTTTGTTTGGTGGGTGTTTGAGAAATTTCTCTCTTGATCACTAATTTGGTCTCTATTTAAGTCGGATATGACTGACTTGTGCCAGTTTTATATGTGAAACCTGTTCTCACATCATTTTCTTTAGCTTCCTTAATTTTCCATGTCTTATGTTATCCAATTTTTTCAATGGAGTGCCATTTTTTACTTGGTTTTCTTTGGTGGGTATTTGAGAAATTCTCCAATTTTTTCAATGGGGTATGATTTTTTTTTTTTACTTGGTTTTCTTTGGTGGGTATCTGAGAAATTCTCCAATTTTTCCAATGGGGTATGGTTTTTTTACTTGGTTTTCTTTGTTGGGTATTTGAGAAATTCTCCATTATTTTCAATGGGTTAATGATTTTTTACTTGTTTTTCCTTGGTGGGTATTTGAGCAAAATTCCTATTTATTTCATATATAATAGACTTATGCTTGTTTTATATGTGATACGTGTTATATGAGAGTTTCTTGTTGATCCTATTCAATTTTGTTCTTTTATAGGTTGAAGATTCAACTGAAATAAGAGAAGAAATTCCCTCTAGTTCAGACCAAAGAAGGCAAAATCTCATCTTACAAATACCCCCAAGAAATATGGAGGTCACTGGGGATGATTTTGTGAGAATAAATATGCCCACCATTACAGCAAGTCCTCCTCCTAAAAGAGTAAACTTTTCTCCAATGCCAAGCCCGAGTTTTGACAGAATTAGCAAATCCCCAGGCCCTTCCTCATCAAAGACCAAATCATCAAACATTAAAAATCTCCTTCCAAAACTGAGTTTTAAGAATAGGAATTCCTCCTCAGAGATTCAGAAAGCTGTGCTTCTGGCCTTGGAAGGCTCACCAGCTGAGAGACAAGAGAAGACTATGTTGTCTAGAACATTGTCATTCACAAAGCTTTTCACACCCAGATTGAAGAATAACTCATCGTCCTTGCCTGTAACACCTATTGCTCATTCGAATCCGGAGTCGATTCATGGAGGAAACACGGCTAGCCTGCTGCATTTTTCTGTGGGTATTCAGTCCTTGTTAGTCTCTTGAAAACTGTTTAGCAGCGTTTTCTTATAGAGATTTGTTAGGATCCGTTAATGACTTGGGAACTTGTTTGCTAGTAGGAATTAATAGAAATAAAGGGCTTAGTAGCTCATTAGAAGTAGGTTGTGATTTTGAGAGTTTTGAGAGACTGAGATTAGGGAGAGCTGGTGGTTTCTCGAATACCAGCAAAGTTAGGAATTTTCTAGAGTCCTCTAATACTCCAGTCTATCCTAAGCTTTCTTTATGTTTTTCTTAGTTTGGTTGTAAAATTCTATGAGCTAGTAGTGGTGATGATCAATAAAACCACTCTAATTGCCTTCTATTCTTGTTGTTTTGTGTAAAAATTGAGCTGTGATAATCAAGTTCTTAACATTTTGGTATCAGAGCATCGAGCTTTGGCATCGTTGTTCAAAAAAAAAGGGTGAGAAGAGTTTGGAATCATGGGGTTTCAAGAACTAGAGCCGCCGACCGCTGCCAGTGGTGAAGCGTTCAGAACCGTACGAACTGACCCGGCAAGCGACGACGGAGGGAAGACGACCAGATCCAAAATCGCGCGAGATTGACGAAGATTGGAGCCATTTGTCGCAATCTGGTGCTGAGACGTTCAGTTCTGAGACAAAGACGACCCCTGGCTGACGCGAACTGGTCTGCAAATCCAATGCCGGCGAACGACGCCAGAGATGCGGCCTGAGATGGGCGATTCACACCGGCATGGGACACAAGTGGAGATGCGAACTGATTGGAGTGATTTTTTGCGCCCGGAGCTAGATCAACTAGATCTGAAGTGAACGGTAGCATATTCACGAGGGATCGAGCGTAGACGGGGCTGGGTTTCGCGATCCCGGTGCGTTCGAAGGTGATTCCGGCCAGATTTGGACTAGGTGTCGCGATTCCAGTGTGTCTAGGCTAATTCCGGTCGAATTCGGACTGGGTCATGCGAGTTCGGCCCGATTTAGGCAGATTCTGGCGAAATTAGGGTTGGGTCCCGAAATTCCAGCGGCCCTAGGTCTGGCTTTTGCAATTCTGATGTGATTGAGACTGATTCCAGTGATGTTTGGGTTGGGCCTCAAACTTACAGCAAGATTAGAGCCACTTACAGCCAAATATGGACTGGATCTTCAAGTTTTGGCATGATTGAGGCTAGGTCTAGGCAATCTGAGTTGGATGAGGGTTGCAATCTGATTTGAGCGAGCGAGTTGGATCTTCTCAATTTGGACTCAGAATCAATCCAAGGGTTTCGAGTAGGGATAGGGAAAGGTGGCACGACACCCTATGGGAGGGCCGAATGGATCAACGATTTCAGCAAATGGATATGCCATTGTTTGCCGGAGAAGAGACCCTGATGGGTGGGTCTTTATTGCTGAACGATATTTTTTGTTCTATAGAATGACGAACAGTGAGAAAATCCAAGCTAAATGGCTATGAAGGGTGATGCTTTGGCTCAGTATTGATGGTAGGATGCTCGTTGCTAGTTCTATAGTTGGAATGAATTGAAGACTCATCTACTCAAGCATTTCAGATTGTCATCCGATGAGGCCTTACATGAGAGTTTATTGGTGAAACGCCAAGAGGATACCATGACTGACTATAGATGACAATTCAAGGTACTTGCCGAACCTGGGAAAGAGATTTCAAATTCGGTTTTAGAGAGAGTTGTCATTACAAAATTGGAAGTCGATAAAGGGCAAGTGGTAGGCAGTTCAAGCAGAATACTTCCAACTCAAACAACAGATGTTTCAGATCAAATAGATGTTCAAAGAGACTTGACTATGAAGAATTTTGATGACAAGGTGGACCAAGGCATTGAAAATGAAGTTGGTTTTCAATCTGGTGCTAGTAATGAGGGGCTTCAAGATATGGGAAACAAGATGTCAATTGCATCAAAATTTTCCAAGGATGTTACTATAGAGACGGAGTTTGCTGCACCAGTGAAAGAAGTTAACAGTGGAGTCCATTCTTATATTTTAAAAGATGAACTTGATTATGTTTGCAACAATTCTGGGGTTGTTGACAAAGGAATGGAGAGTGTACACTTGCAGCTGCCCTCCATTGTTGATGTTCTGACCATGCACTGCAACAAGATAACACTTGTGGGAGGAAGGTTTTTGTTATAAATGAATTGTTTGAGCTGACCAACAAGGTATTCCATTGCTACAAGGATGATTTTGAGGCTGGGCTTCATGGTTTCGTTGCCTTTAAAGTGGTTCTCAGTTTTAGCTCCAAACAAAAGTGTGAAGTTGAAAAAATAAAGTTAACAAGAACATTTGAAGCAAGTTATGTACAAATCATTCTGTTCGACGTTCCAAGATGCAAGCTCATCAAGATTGGAAGGAAGTGGAGTCACACGGCTGCAATTACTTAACACCTTGAGGACAAAGTGTTTCTTTGGGGCAGGGATAATGTTAGGATCCGTTAATGACTTAGGAACTTGTTTGGTTAGTGGGCTGATAGAGTTAGTATGAATTAGTATAAATAAAGGGCTTAGTAGCTCACTAGGGGTAGGCTGTGATTTTGAGAGTTTTTGGAGACTGAGATAAGGGAGAGCTGATGGTCTCTCGAATGCCATTAAAGTTAAGAGTTCTCTGGAGTCCTCGAATACTCTAGTCTATCCTAAGCTTTCTTTACGTTTTTCTTTGTTTGGTTGTAAATTCTATGAGCTAGTGTTGGTGATGATCAATAAAACCACTCTGATTGCCTTCTATTCTTGTTGTTCTGTGTGGAAATTGAGCTGTGATAACCAGATTCCTAACAAGATTTTTTTTTCTTTCATTTTTAGTCTTTGCATTTTTGAGGTTATTAGAAAATTATACCATATATTTTGGACTGTATCGAATTTATACTTCACATTTCAAATTCATATAGTTTTTCAATCAGAGGTTAATTTTAACTGAAATTCACGTAAATGTCATTTATATTTCTAAATTTTGATTTTTTTTCCTCAAGTATGTTTACTGTTTAGGTATTTCTTGTGGTCACAATTGACCATTAACCAAGAAAATGATATTAATTAGCATAAATTCGAAATTTCGGGTACAAAAAGTAATATTGTCCAAAATACAAGGAATGATTTTTTGATACCCTCAAAATGTTGGGTATGAAAATTACAAAAAAGAAAAAAAAACCCAACCCCTTTTTAAATTATTGTCCTCCACGTGTATTTTATCCAATGCCGTATGAGTTTTTGGCTTTTTGCCACAGATTCTAGTTTTATGTTTTTTCCATTGTCTGCCCAATTCTCTTGTTTGCTTATAATATATATGTTATATTGTTAGAAATTTTTCCAAACTAATCAAACGAGTTCATGATTATTCACTCCACCATGACATAATTCCTAAAGAATCTCATTTTTTACAGAAAGGAAGTGGTAGGCTGCCCATTCATCGTTCTCATTCTGTCCCAGTCCTTAACAAAGAAGAAGGAAGCATATCCATACGTGGCATTTTTCGTGTAATTCCTACCACTCCACGAGTTGCTGAGAGGACAATCATGAAAGCACCCAACACACCACCAGAAGATGACAGTGGTAAAATAATGTTACAATTGTCTTTGTTCTGTTCTTTTGCCAAAACACCCCAATTCTTGCAGGCAGGGGCGGAGCGCCCCCGCCCCAACAGTAATTCTTTTTTTTTTTCTTTTACTTTGTATGTATATTTTGTTAAAATTTGTAGTTGGCCCCACCTAAAAAAATGCAATTATATATATGTCTGCCCTTGCATAAAATCTGAGATTATTACCGTGTTTGGAATCGTTTTTGTTTCACTTTTTTCGAGAAAGAAAAAATGAAAACGATTCCAAAACGGCGTTTGGCACAATTAAAGACAAAAAACGGAAATAAAAATGATTTTTTGGTTTAGTGTAAAATGGGAGAGATGAAGAATGACTTTTAGTCGTTTTTCATTTTGTCTTTGTTTTTTCCTCTCTTGAGCAGAGAAAAAGAGAGACATTAATGAGTTTTTTTATATTAAAAACAATCTCTTGATAAAACTACCAAATGCATTTTCAAAAATGATTTCTGTCTGAAATTGAAAACGTTTTCATTTCCATTTTCATACAAAAAAACAAAATCATTTTGGAACGAATTCCAAACGCATCCTATATGTCCACCCCTCCTCACTTACTTTTCTGGCTCCGCCCCGTCTTGCAGGCTGCATAAGAATATTTCTATTATACTGTTCTTGTTTTGAGATTAACTGGTCAAGTCAGAAATAGTAAGCTGATTTAGTTCAGAAAATGTTTTGCATAGTATTAGTTAATTGATGTTTCTTTTTGAGATAGTATTCACGTGGATTGTTATAGTAGACTTGTTGTTATATAAGCGTGTTGGAATATAAAACGGTTGTTGGCCCACCTACATCTTAAGTTTTTGAGAGAATTGGTAAACTAACATGGTATCAGAGCAAGAGGTTCCTAATTCTAACTCGTGTAATTGCACTCTTATCCCCTTTAAAGGGTGGCATCAAGTGCTGGGGTTTAATATGTTTCGAGTTTCTTCTTGTGTAGGTCTTTGTAATTAATTTTTACCCACATGTTTTCCCATTTGTCCGGTCTACGCGTGAGGGGGAGTGTTGGAATTTCACCTCCTAACAACTTAAGCTTTTGAGAGAATTGGTAAATTTAACAGCCGGTGATTGTTGTTTTTTATTTTTCTTGTTTTGTGTAAATTAACTTTCTTAATTCATTACTGGTTGTTTTTTTCTTGTCAAGAATAAAATTCATTTAGAATAACTTCTTCAGCTTGAAGATATCAAAGTTTCCCTGCATATCAGATTCTAGCAATTGTTGATTCTTGTATGGTAACTTGTGATGACCAACCTATGTCTTATCTTAGTATTGCGATTCAGATGAAAGTGATGATAGTGGTGAAGATATTCCAGAAGAGGAAGCCGTGTGCCGAATCTGCTTGGTTGAGCTAGGGGAAGGCGGTGATACACTTAAGATGGAATGCAGCTGCAAGGGTGAACTCGCCCTGGCTCACCAAGAATGTGCCATTAAATGGTTCAGCATAAAGGGTAATAAAACATGTGATGTCTGCAGGCAAGATGTTCAGAACTTGCCTGTCACACTTCTTCGGATTCAAAATTCCCAGGCCCTCAACTTTCGAGGTAGTAGATCTTTACGAGCAGAGGCTAATCAGTACAGGCAAGTAAACAATGGAATCCTCGTCTAAAATTCAAACATGTTTCTACTTAAGCTGCAGTAAGCCGAAGTTTTTGCTGCCCAACTCTTGAAGCTAAATATGTTTGTACTTCTTGTTATGTCCAAACCTAGCTTCTTAATAGCTAAAATCAATGCACTCTTTGGCAGGGTTTGGCAAGATGTTCCGGTTCTAGTCATCGTCAGCATGCTTTCCTACTTTTGCTTTCTTGAGCAACTTCTGGTAAGGCTCGCCACCAACTTCTTGGTGCTGCTACTTTTAGGCGGCCTATAAGACTTCCTAATAAACCACATTGACAGGTTAAAAAAATGGGTTCAGGTGCAATTGCCGTATCTCTTCCATTCTCCTGTGTAATGGGACTTTTGGCATCCATAACAGCAACCACAATGGGTAGGGCTGAGCTCAACTTTCCTAATTCAGACAATGCTTTGTGTTACTTTAGTCATGCCAATCTCATACCGACTTGTTCCATATATTTGTTTTTTTATTTTTCTTTTATTTCTAACTCAGTGAGGAGAAAATATGTCTGGATTTATGCAAGTGTTCAATTTGCATTAGTGGCTCTCTCAGCTCACCTTCTCTATTCATTGGTAAGAAGAAAACTCCCTATAATCATACACTAGTTGTTAAAAGACATGAAAAAGATTAATGTTTTTTTTATCCTAGCTTGTTTTGGGGTACAAAAGCTTTGGCTAAATGTTTCTTAAACTGAAACTTTAAAAGTTCTTGGTTTATGGATTTGTTTATATTTGCGTGAGAAAACACTCAGCAAGTTATTGTGGGATCCACAGCTTCACATGCAGGGCGTTCTGTCTGTTCTGCTAGCCACTTTCACTGGTTTTGGGGTTACAATGTGTGGAAATTCAATCCTTGTTGAGGTGTTGAAATGGAGAAGAAGATGTCTAGCTCGGGTGAATCAAACGCGCGGTTCTCAAGAAGGGACGGAACCAAATCAACCGCCTGCAAACTTGGAACAAGCAGAGACGTATCCCGAACCCCGTGAAAGCAACCAAGGAGATTCAGATGCTATCCGTGGCAATTGATTGGCTTGCTTTTTATTTGCTTTCCACATTCATTACTGTCAATTCACAGTAGCAAAACAAGAGTAAGCTCTTCTGTAACGAAAACCATTTAACGTTGGTTGTGTTGGAACTAAATTTTGTGCATTTGTTGGCTTGCTTATGAAGTGGTCTTGTCTACTCTCTCTCTCTCTCTCTCTCTCTCTCTCTCTCTCTCTGCATTGGAATTGGGAGGAGCCTAGTGGAAAATCTCATGTACTCGTATTACAGGTCTTAGATGCAGCAGTAGCGTTCATTAAATTGTAAATAGTGTCCATAATTCATCAACACACTTATAAATACAACTATTTACAAGTATGTACGTATGTGTGTATGTATATACATTTTTTTTCATTCTTTGCTTTGGCTTCATCATCCCATCATAGTGTAATTAATAACCTGGATTATTATTCTGGATGGCCTTTCAACTTTAGGGTCATTCTTAATTTGGCCTCTGAATTTTAAAAACTCTTATTTTGTCCCATAAATTTTAAATTATTCTCACTTAATCCCTTATGTTATAATTTATGTTAAAAATATATAGAAAAAAAAAATAACGTAGTCACGTGATCTTTTTGTTTAGATTTATGTTATAAAAAAACAAATAAAAATCACATGACAATATTTAACCTTTAATTTTTCCATCTAATTTTAACAGAAATTCTTATAAAAGGGTTTAAATAAGACATTCAAAATTTATGAATGATGAGGCATGATAATTTTTTAAAGTTAAGGGAGAAACTAGAGTCATGCTTAAATGAGATAAATTTTGTGACAAATTCAAAATTTATGAATGACGAGGCATGAGAATTTTTAAAGTTAAAGGGAAAAACTGGAAATGACTCTAAGTTCAGGAATCAGAGGCATCAATTATAATAATCCTAACAACTTTTGATATGTGATGAGACAAAACGCATCTCTAGCGTTTGTATCAACCAAAGGGCAACTTTGATATGAGCATGTTAAAGAGTTGTGGGAGGATCCAACAAAATTTAGTAAAGTGAATCGCTTGAAGATTCATATATTATGTAAACCATAACCACTTAAAACGCACTTCTAAGATATACAAATTTCAAAGATTGCGCCTTCAATTATTCCTGTGAGTAATTAGACATATCCTAGAAAGGCCGTTCTGTACTTACAAAAGGGATATTCCCTCCTCCTCCTCCAACCTCATAGTGCCTTCAAATGGCCATTTTGGTCCTATACAATAAAACCCCGTTGGTTAAATCTCATTGGTGCCAGTTCTTAAAACCAACTGGGACGATAGGCGAAAAACAGCTACACAAGCAAATAAAACCGTAATTTAAATGGAAAAGGAAAAAAAAAAATAGCTCGGTTTTGCCTCGAGTCTAGCAACAGTTTGGTCATTGCTTGTAGCTTGAATTTCCGACCTTACTTGACAATGAAGGTTTCTCCTTCAAGCTGGTACTCAAGACAGTTTCGGCATTATTTGACTGGTTATCTGCAACTCCGGGTCTGATCCAAATCTTTATATGCCCCTCTCGGCAGACGGTAAGAACAGATTCCTGAGTGAAAATCAAACCAGAAAGGGGCTCAGTGTGCACCCGATGAGCAACCAGCGGTGAGAGCTTTGGAATATCTCGCATGCTTGGAGCAGGTTGGAGAGTGCCAATTGGGCAAACACTATCCCAATGGGATGACTGGCTTCCAGCGCTATAAGTGGGAGAACCACCTGGCAGTCTACGCACTGGTACAGCAATCTCTTCCACTTCCAGTTCCCACAGGAGCAACTGTGTGTCCTGGACAGAAACAAACCCAAATAATTGTGGAACTATGTACCGTTGATCAGAGTATTAAATTAACTCGAGAAAAATAACAATGAACAAGTTAATCAAAGGCCAATGACTTCTTTCTAATACCTGACCAACAGAACCAAACCGATACGTAACATTTTCTGTGCCACCTGAATTTGGTGACGACCAATATGAATCAAAAGCCACTCCACTGACCTGCCAGAAGCAACCGTATACGCTAATAAGCGACCACAATGACGGAAGAAACTATTGAGTTTACTACAAGCCTAAGGCAGTTAGAAAATGTTTCACATCCCGACAGGTTGAGTTGGGATATTGAAATAACCTATGGGCCCAACCTGGTCAGTCCCACCAAGTGGAGCTCACATCTATTTCACATCCCAACACAACCTGGCTAGGGATGTTTAGGTTTACTCAATGCAGTTGCATAAAAAACTCACCCAGGAGTTATGCCCCTCACCCCGGGCAACAACCCTTCGTTCTTCCATGCTCCAAACTTGAACCAAATCATCTTCTCCTCCCGTCAAAATGTATTTTCCATCCACGCTGCAAACAATCATGCCCTTTATCATCAGAAAGAGAACCACAGTGTTTCCCAAATTAAACGAATTCTAGGGACTAAAAATTGGCACCAGAACAAAGATATTAAGCAAAAAGCAACAAGATATTAATCGAAATCCAGTAAGGTACACACCTCCACGCACAACATAAGAGAGCACCATAATAACTTTTTCCACCACATACGAGTTGCTCTCTAGAGTAGTCAAAAACACGTAAATAACCTGAACACAACAATCAAACAAAGTTCATATATATCTGTAATAAAACTACTATTAAAAGAAGAACCACAGGATGGAATTATATATATTGCAATATTACCGTCTCTTCCAACAGTAGCTAAATAGGTCCCATCAGTTGAGAAAGCAATGCTATTAATTGAACCTTGGCAAATATGCCACCTGGCAACTGGGTTGCTCTGCAAAAATAATTAAATATTGCGGGAGTCAGCAAACAACAGGAAAAGGAAGCACGAAAACTCATATGTGGCCAGTTGCACAACCCTCATTTAATATATCAGTACCCTAAAGCACTGTTGATATCTCAAACGATTATGGCATATTTAATGCATTGCTCGTGAAGATGTTTCTTTTTCTAGCCAATTTTGATCGCAGGTTTATTATTCTAGGTTTAACCCAGGACCGAAAAAGATTACACTACAGACACAAACAGCCAAACTACCATTAGACACTCAGAACTACCCACACACGACAAATGCACAGATAAAAAACACAGCTATTGCAAGTTGGAAGTGGAAAAATAAGACGACTTCAATACCTTACTATAGCGAGCATGTGAAACAGAAAATTGAGTTTGATCTTTGATGACAGGGAATGAAGAATCACCTGCACCATCTTTGCTCTATAAAGTTGAAAACAAAATACATTTAGATCATTATACAAAATACCATGGAAACAATGATATTTAAGAAAGATAGGTCGGGGGCTCAAAAACAACATGGTAACTTGCCTTCTCATACACATACAAGTTCCCATCGGTATGAGAAACTACAAAAGCGCCATCACCTCCAGGCACCCATGCAACACTTGTACAACGACTGTTAGAAATATGAATCAATCAAAGCAGTCTACATAATTGCAGTCTCGATCATAAGCAAGCCCATCTACGAGCTCTCGTAAAGAAATAATAGACCAGGTACAGGGTCTCTGAGCTGTAAGCAGCCAAGTGTTTCTTTGCCACCCCTAATGCTAAGTCTATTAAGGCCATGTTATGGACTCAAAAATAAATTTCAAATACGGTTACGGTGCAAAAGCCACATCTGTTTACTTTTTCTTTTTTTTTTTTTTCAGTTTTTTCATGTATTTGTAACGTCCAATAGGAATACCCTTCACTAGAATTGTGTCCTACCAGCACAAATATAGCAGCAAAAATCCCCCATCTTTTTACTTTTTTTTTTTTTTTTTTTTCAGTTTTTTCATGTATTTGTAACGTCCAATAGGAATACCCTTCACTAGAATTGTGTCCTACCAGCACAAATATAGCAGCAAAAATCATAGTAATATCATGTTGTTTTGCCAGGGGAACTAATAGTAATAAGCAGTCCAATACCCCTCCTACTACAAAAATTCCCAAATATTATCCTAAAGCATCATGTCCAGTAGTTCACATGCTATCTACCAAACACCAAATAAATTTAAAATATACATACATATTTCCCCGGTTTCAGGGATATTGAAAGTCACAATCTAGCTCTAAACTAGTATACGTTTTTGATAAATCAAAAGCAGGCTCTAAAAATTGCATTAACACTTTAACCTTGCCTGTTATTAACAGAACCATCTTTGTTATAATGCTGAGCCCCAACAAGCTTCTTTCCAACGTCCTGCAATTGCTGTCTCAGCGACACTGAGTAGACTACAGCAACACACAAAACCAATAAATTTGAAACGTATAACTCTCTGAACAAGCATTGCAATTCAGACTCGAGGGGAAAAGAATTACCATCTCCCGAACTCAGTCCAATAATCAAATCATGCCCATCCTTTGCGTCTTGATCAAATGCATGGCAAATGGGGTTTGAGTTATTAAAATGTATAGACTTTATGGGATCCTACATGCAAAAATAAACTTCTCATACACCGTACCAAACACCGAAAACTTACCTAAATCCAAACTTATTGAAATACCTTGTCTTGGGAATTCAAATCACTTATAAAGATTGCATCGCCCACATTAAAAATCAAATAAGTTCCTTTGCCATCAAAATTCGAAGTAGAGCTCACACTAGTCGAACTCGAAACCCCTAACGACCCAACTTTACTTGCATTCACGCTCTTGCTCCCACCATTGCCTCCAACAAAGCTAAGTGCCCGGCTCCCATTGCTACTAATCAGAAACCTGGCAGCTGCCGATCGTACACCGGTGCTAGCACCGAAGGTAGACGATGAGGCAGGCGGGGTCGACGGAGAAGGCTTGTCTTTGAGATGTGCTAAGGTCACCTGAGAAACAGCCACAGAACACTTTTAAAATTTGGTTTCAAGAGTTTGATATTGCTAGAAAGAAAAAAGAAACCACCTAATGGCAAATTCTATAAACTAAAAAATGTGACTTTGATTATGATTCCCTACACAGGATTATATTCAAACAACAAAATTTCTCTTAAGTTTGACCCAAAAGGAACAAACTTTAATGCAAAAAATTAACCTTTATGATTCAGCAATCAATTTAATTGAAACAATAGAACACTTCTTAACTTTGGCTTCCAGAGTTTGATATTGCTAAAAACACCACCAAATTCTATAAACTAAAAAATGTGTCTTTGGTTCTGATACTGATCATATTCAAACAACAAGATTACTCGTCTTTTGACCCAAAGCAACAAACTTTAATCCGAGAAATTCACTTTTATAATTCAACAATCAATTTAATTGAAACAATACGCTTAAATTCAACCAAAATCTAACACTAACAAACAGTAATCACAGACGGAAATGAAAATTTAAAAACCCTAGCACTCGAATGAAGAAAGCAAAATCTCAACGAAAGCATCAAATTCAACGAAAATGGCAATCAAAGGATGCGATTCCTCGAAAAACGCGAACTTTCGGAAACCAAATTCGGAAGCAGAAGAACCTGAGTGACGGTTTTTCCATGGGTGTAGTGAAGAAAGCCGGAGGGATGAGTTTTCTCGTAGTGGAGCTTGTATCGGCCTTCGGGAGTCTTGAAATAGGTCTTGAGACCAGGCGATTGCGCGTTTCCCGATGCAGAGGAAGAAGAGGCGGCGGCCGCCGTTGACATCATGCCGTTCGCCGAGTTGATCATGGTGGTGATGATGATGATAATGATGATGATGATGGAGCCCGCTACGATGCGCCCGAGAGCATACGATCATGACACTGCTAGGGTTTTTGAATTTATGGATTTTTGTTTTTGGCTAAGACGAAAAGAGATTTTTGGTATTGCTCTCTTTCTGTGTTTTTTTTTTTTTTTTTTTTTTTTTTTTTTGGAAAAGAGTGCAAACCTTTTGTGGGTCTTCAATGGCTTCCGGATCAAAAGAGGGTTGAATCGGCTGGTTCGTGGCTCACGGTAAATGTTTGGGGTTTGACTTTTTGTGTTATCCAACTCAGCAAAATTGACGGTGCAGATTTGACGTTTGGGGATTGACGTCTTGTGATTCGAACAATCTCATGACAGAAGTGTATAGGGGATTCAGCTAGAAAGAGTTTGTACGCTTTGGAACATCTTTGATGAACAATTAAATATTTTTTATCATTTTACCGATTCAAAATGGTTTATTTACAAAAATAACATTGACAAAAAAAAAAAAAAATCTTATAACAAATACTAATTTTTGAGACTTTTATTTTTAACATTAGTACGTTAACAATTGAGTCTTACAAAGTTAAATTGTCAAAATTATTATTGACAATATTCAAGACATTTTCAACTCTCCTTCTTAATTTCTCTCTCTTCATTTAAACTCTCACATTTTCTCTTATTTTTTTTGTTTCTCCTCTTTCTCACACTCTTCATTTGAACAAGTTACAAAATATCTCTTCATTTAAATTTATATATTTTCTTCTCCCTCTCTTTCTCTCTTTCATTTGAGCTCCCACCTTTTTTCTCTCTCTTTTTCTTTCTCCTCTCTCTCCCACTCTCCTCGTATGAACAAGCTGTAAATATTTTCTATTAGCGCTTAATCCCGATTTGCATCCAATGCAACGCAAGCTCGTTTATAAGTGCTAATAAAGTGCACTTCGACTTTTTTATTTTTCTAAATCTTAAGTAAGAAATCTTAAAAATAAAAGTTTGGGTTATGTTTTTTACGAAACCAATTGGTCAAATTTGTTTCCAATTTGAATAATAAGGTTAATTATTGGTAAGTTTTGCTTTGTAAGCATCATTATTTTAGCAGAATGGTAATTTTCATTTTCTAGGTAGTTATTACAATAATTACTAATTTGTGACTATATAGTAATTATCATATTTACTAGTGGTCATAATGGTGTTTACTAGCATCATATGCTAAATTTATTTGCTTAGACCATCTCCAATGTAAATACTAATGTTAATTATATATTTGACACCAAAAAATATGCTATGACATATTATTTTTAGTTGTGCTCCAATTAATAATGTTATTTGAAATGTTAAATCTACTTTTTCTATCATTATTAAGCTTTAAAGTTGTAAAAGTGTACTTGTAATTTTAAAATAATTTAAAATTATAAAAGTTGCAATGATTAAATGAAAAGGTAAATATCTCAACCAATAAAAATTAAATGTCGTCATATTTTTCACATGCTACATTTGGTGAAAAATTTGTCTCAAACTACAGTATATGAGAAATTCAACACAATAAATAATATTGTATTAAAGAGTATTTTTTACACTCAAATGTTAAATTTACAATTGGACAAATTAATTATATATATCATTGCATTGGAGATACTCTTATGAGTGAGATTTTGATGCTAAATTCACTTTCAAATTAATTCTCTTGCATACACAATCTAAATGTTCTTTTTTATTTATTATTTTTTTAAGATTTCTTATTTTAGATTTATAAAGCAATTTATTCTCACTCACTCTCTTTCTTTCTCATAAGATTTTTTTTTTTAATGGCTAAGTGGCAACAAAATTGGAATAATGGTAATCATCATATTTACTAGTAGTCATAAAGATGACTACTAATATCATATGCTAAACTTCTTTTTTCATGAGTAGGACTTTGATGCTTGAAATCAAAAACTGGAAATCCAACTTAAATTGAAACCAACTTGCTCTGATAATATGAAACCGAACTTTTGTTATGATTCCAGTAACTATAATAACGACCGTTTCCAATTAAAATAAATGTGAGATACTTACTCGATTATTATTAAATTAACCACAAATCAATTCAATTGGTGCACATAAAAAAAGTTGTAATTATTTATCTTGCGTTAAATGAAAGAGAATTTTAAGTCATAATAAATAATAATAAGCTTAACTACAACTTAAATATTAACCATAATTAAATGTGTAGAAACCGAGTGTTTTAACTTGTTTTCTCACTTCACCTTTATTATTTAAAGCGAATCGTGTCTAATTAGTTAGATTCTCACCTATAAAGACCGGAGGTGTGTAAAATATTTTAAATAATATGAATGGTAATTACAATAATGACTTATTTTATTGACTAATTGTAACACCATGAGTGTCTTTTTTTTTTTTACAGGTAAGGTCTCCAAACAAAAAAATAATAATTTATTAAAACGAGCCGAAAAAGACCAAGGTGTGTCTTGTTAGGAGACGTTTGGTTCATGAATTAGAATCATGTGATTAGAACCATTTTTTATTTACGTGTATTTTTTGTGAGAGAAAATACTGTAGCGAACTACGAACCATGATTCGAATCAAGGAACGAATCTCCTAACCAAACAACCCCTTAATCTCAAAGGAATTAGCATCCCCACATGTCAACATTCATTTAAGGTTTGGATGGTGGACATATAGTGTATTTTGAATACTTCATATAGTGCTTTTGTATAGTAGTAACTATCATGGTAAAGTATCCAATTCGATACCGAATTAGAGCGACATATGTATATTTCTTTTAAAAACATGTATATTTTCTCTAAAAATATGTATATAAGTGTTTTGACAAATTATAAGTGTCTCTCCTCATTATACATGTTTTAAAATGAAATATACATATTTTTAATGTAAATATACATGTACTGCTTTAATCCGGTGCCAAATTGGAGACAATTCCAACTATCATAATTACTGTCTCGTAATTATAATAATTATTATCGGTCATAATATATTTGACTAATTATATACGAATGATAATAACTGAAATTATATATTTGATACCCTTGAACATACCTACATGATAACAGAGGACAATTTGGGATCATTCGGACGACAGGCTTCCCATGGCAACGGCTGCAATAAAAATCGACGCTTCTTTCCTTCTTGCATTTCAACGCTATTAGCTCTTTAAAAACATGGTCTTTCAGTTGAAAGCTTATTTACCGGAAAAAAAACATGCTCTTTTAGAAATAAAAAATAGTAGTAGTAAATAAATAAACCAACACGTTTAACCATCAAAATTTTGTAAGAAAACCATCCATTAAAAAGAAAATCAAAACCTATAGCCATTCGGCACATTTATCCCTTAAAACTTTTTGAATTAGCAAAACATTCCCAAAATTTTTATTTTTAGCAATATAGTTTTCAATTCATCAAACTATGAAAAATCCACCCCATTGTATGCATTTCTCTAAAGCTTAAGAGAAAAACAAAAATGTGTACACATGTTTTGATTTCCAAAAAAGAAAAGAAAAAACGAACATTACCGTGGAAAATCATCCTTCTCAAAACAAATCTTTAATTCCAACAAAACAGAGTGAAAACAATTTGGGCGCATTTGGAATTTATTCTAAAATGATTTTATTTTTTGTATGAAAATAAAAATGAAAACGTTTTCAATCTCAGACAGAAATCATTTTAAAAAATGCGTTTGGTAGTTTTATCAAGAGATTATTTTCAGTATAAAAAAACCAATTAATATCTCTCTTTCTCTCTCTGCTCGAGAGAGGAGAAAACGAAAATAAAAAATAAAAAACGACTCAAAGTCGTTTTTCATTTCTCTCTTATTTTACACTAAATCAAAAAATCGTTTTCATTTTCATTTTTTATCTTTATTACACCAAACGCCGTTTTAAAAACGTTTTCATTTTTTTTCTCTCAAAAAACATAAAAATAAAAATAGGATGAATTCAAAACCCAGCAAAAAAAAAAACCCCATTTTACTAAAAAACAACTCTAAAACCCACCTACGTCCAACCTCAACATCCACATTCCCGCCATTTATGATCTCCTTATCAAACACATGAGAAACGACACAATCCACAAGCAAAGTAAGTTAAGAACCCAACACAAAGCCAACATAAACGCAAAAGGATATTCCTTTGCCATCAAATCCTCAAAAGTCTCATTTACATGGCTGCAACCTCACTCGGATTCCCGTCGTAAAAAGATATTCACGGCGCCTCCCCATGACTTTGACTTTACCTGGATTCTTCTTGGTAATGATAAGAATTATCGATTTGATATGAGAAGGGAAAAGAGAGAGCAGAGAAAAGGAAAGAGGGAGAAAAAAAAATGGAGACCAGAGAAAATGGAGAAAATGAAAGAAGAGGGAAAAGAAAGGAAAATGTGATTTGGGGTACTAAAGCGTATTTTAGAAAATATGGTCTGATTTAGTTTGTTGATTCGAATTTTCAATTTGAGCTGAGATGTAATTTTATGTGAGAGCTTTTTATGTAAAAAAAAATCAGATATGACTTTTTATGATAACTTTTAATGTAGCAACATTGAAATTGAAAATAAAAATTTAAATCGGTGAAATGAACGATACCTATATATACATAGGATCGACGTGGCAGTATTAAAAGTAAAAGTCTAAAAGGGTGTATTTGTAAGATTATTATTTTTTAAGTGTAATTTTTGTAAATAACGCATTCAAAATCTTTTTTTTTTTCCCTCTGGACTAGTCTTGCCTTTTATACATGGGGACCTTATAAATATGCCATTGTAAATTAGTGGGGTGTGATTTAAATATTTGAAATTGGTGTTCACTTTAAAAATGGTTTACAATTTTATTTTATACTATAAAACTATCTTAATTATCTGTATAATAACACTCATCCTTATTCTATGTTTCAATCTCATAAGAGTAAAAAAAACGAAACTGAAAAGTGACCAATAATAAAACATAAATCAAAGGAATAACACTCGAGAAATCGGAATAATAGAAATCAGCATATTGATATCATTCATATAGTTATAGATATTTTATAGATGTATAAGAAGAGAGAATAAGGTTGAACAAGTTCTGTACTTCAATTAAAAATCTAATGATTCACATCAAATGGTTATGATTTCTCTACTTGGTTTATATTTTCTTTCTACACTTCAGATAGAAGTGAAAATGAAGAAGAATCAAA